ATTCATTCAGATTTCTCCAGTATTATTTCATACTCCATAATGATGTTAGCATAACTATATTACAGGTCATTGAACCTGTTTTTCTCTTACAGTCTTTTCTTCAAAACATTAATATCTGTTTGCGTGATTACTGGTATACTATTTTGGATGCTTACGTGCGCAGTTATACTAATTAAAACACTTTTTACGTCTGTTTATAATTGCTCACATATGTATGTTATATCAACCTTACATTTATAGTATACAATAAGAAAATAAAAAACCTAAACAATAGAAAATAAAATCTCAAAACCCGGTTGAATATTGTAGAAATTTTTTATGATTCAACAATTTGTTCTAAATTTTCAATTTGTTATGATTAAACATAATCACCTTAATTAATATGTTGAACTTAAAAAAGAATGAAAATATGTCTTATACAACTTTTCAATCCGTTTTAATAAAAAGTACTTAGACTTGAAACAAATTTGAGAGTCAGTGCCTAAATTCTAGAATATCAAATACAAAAATGGTAATTCAAGAAATAAACATTTTATGTGAGTTTTTAAACTATCACATATCTTTCAGACTAACAGTTGCTAATGATGGACTCCCCACTTATATGAACAGGCTCATGCAACCTTTTCAATTTTGTCGCATTGGGCTTTCTTTAGGAATTCTGTTTTTTCTCTAGTCTAAATAGTGGGTGTTTTGTTATAGTATTTGTGTAGTCATCTTTATCAACCTGCTAATTGCAAAAGATAGATTTAGATAGATTTATTTCGGCATAAAGGTAAACATGTTACATGATAAACAAACACAATATAGATTAAAACAATTACAAATAAATAAATAAATAAATAAATGAATAAATACTATATTATGTAAACCATGACATGTTCCCAAAACCAAGGATAACACAAAAAAGAGCAAGCTCTTATTTCCATTGTGGTCCTTAGCATTTGGTGGCATGACATAGAGAGGTATTTCATAAAAGAAAAAAAAATATCACAAAATTATAAGATAAATCACATTAATGAAGGATATCATTTAAAATCATCACAATTTAAGATGTAAGGTATTGTAAATAAAAAGTCATTATCACATTAAGAAATAAGTATGTGCATAGTAAGAAAGGATTACATTAAAAAAAATATCACAGTTGTTATGAGTATGTAAGGAAAGAACATGCCATAGATTACACTATTCCAAAAAAGATAAAAGTTTTTAAAGTCTTAATAAAAAAATTTAAAACAAATATCAAAAAATGAAACAGTAAACCTGAGCCGAAAAACAATTCACTAAAATAATGAAAACATAAAATTTTCTTGAAAGAAATTTTAAAAGAAATTTTAAGAAAGACACTTAGATGCTACTTAAAAAGTGACTTTTGATGGCTACCTTAAAACGATGAAATTTGTTAATTTCAGTTATGCAGGTTGGAAGACTGTTCCATAGTTTAGCACCAATAAAACTGAAAGACTTTGACCCGGAACCTTTAACCTTAGGAAGACAATACCCTCCTTTTTTGCTCAGTCTGGTGCAATAAGAATGCATAGATTCCTGAGAAACAAAATAATCACTTAAGTACTCTGGGGCCATTTGGTTTTTAACCTTAAAAACGTGACATAACATGATTTGTTCAACTCTTTTACAAACTGGTAACCAATTAAGGGATTTAAAATGGGAAGGGCCAATATGAACTCTGGAATCAAGGTTTAGAACAAATCTCATCATTTTATTTTGTGTTGTCTGTAATTTATTTTTCAAGACCTGAGTTAAACCATTATACCAGACACAGCAGGCATAGTCAAAGTGGCACTGAATTAATGAATTGACAAGCAGTTTTTTGGTATGCTGTGTAAGGAAATCTTTCTTACGGTAAAGGAACTTTAACCTGGCGTTAGCCTTCTGAATTACTGAGTCTGCCATGTAACCAAAGGACAGGTACTGATCAATAGTTACCCCAAGATATTTGATGGATGTGGAAGCTTCTATTGCAGAGATACGAATATATATCACTAATAAAGATTATTTTTTTCACATCCCTTTCATTTAAAATGCGCAGGTCGGTGGGGTTAATTATTCTTAGTTAGGATAAAACCATTTGATACTTTGGCATTGCCAGCAACAACAGTCTTCTGTTTTGAAAATAGATAAAGGGAGAAAACAAGAAGAAAACAAGCGAATATCAACAGAGCAATACAGTACCTTTTCTATTTTCTTAAATATGCAATCAGTTTTCTATTGACTTCATGTGCACTGCATAGGGGCTCGAACCTGAGAAAATATTGCAACTGGAAAGCTTATGCTATAGTTACATATACATAAAAACAGACTGAAAATGTAATTTAAACTTTGAATAAGCTTAGAATAAGATAACAGAACCATTTAAAGCGAAAACTCGGCAGCAATTGGTATAAAATCTCTTCCTGAAGGAATCCACGATTTTCTCTTGACTGGACATGAACCCACACAGCTAGCAATCCTAAGATTAGTAGTCCGACGCGTTAGATTGAAAGTAATTGTATTGTTAACGCTGGAATGGAAATAAATCAACTAGTGTAGAGCATAAACAGGCTTATCATCCATGCAGACTGTTGGATGACTGACGTTCCGTTTTGATATGAACAGTTCCTCCAAAAAGAACAACAAAAACACCAACGTAAGGTTGAAAAGTCCATTTCACAAATTAAGCAGGTTAATGATAAAGCTTCAAAATTTGTAGAAGCAATGTCAGCTGCTCAAGTTAAATATCCTGCAGTCCATGATATAACCTTTTCTGTAACAAGTAAAATAAGTCGTGTATAGAAATCAACTGCGCAATGTGGCAAAATATGACCCAAGGCTAATATCGGTATTTGCAAACAAGTGTGAAATTTATCTCCCATATCTAATGCATATAAAACGTTTTTGAAACGTTCATGTTTTGCAGATATCAAAAATTCTATTATATACATAAAATAAAAAAGAGAAATATGTCAACTTAAGATTTCTCTAGAAATTAAATATGAACTTTTCGAAATTTCATAGCGAACTTTATTAAACGAAATTTGATTTCCCGATTTTTTGCAATACTTAAATTGTATATATTCCAACTCAAAACATATGTGTGAAAATTGGCCTCTTCAATAATAACATATAGGAGATGGCATATTTTTAGTATATCCTTTGAAAAAGGGACGGACAACTCTTTGTCCCTTTCTCGTATGAGAAAGGGAATTCAGTGATTCCAACATGTCCTCGATGCGTGTATGTTGTCGCACGGTCAAATATCTCTAACAAAATGACAAGAGTTATGGTACGGAAGCGTCTAGGTGCCAAATTTAATAACTCGTGATAAGGTTTTTCAAGCCTAATAAGGACTTTTTTAATAATCAGTTATAAAATTCTAATTAGGACTTTAATACTCCTAACCAGGAGACATAATTAGAATTTTGTTACTACAAAATAGGAACTTTAGCTCTTATTAGGACAACGGCAATGTGCTTAATAAGGCAATTTGAACTTAGAAGAAATGAAATAAGTAGTTGAGAAATAAAATTAAAGACAATATAAAAATTAGGAACTAAGACTTTTTTATTTCTCCTATTAGGATTAGAAAAGGACCTTAATTATGAGTACAAATGTTTTGTTTTTGGTTGAAAAAAAATCTCAAAAAAGAACGATCAAAAAGACAAAATTGAAATTATTGCAGGCTCGGTTTGACTGAACCTGCTCATAGTCGGTACTTAAAATTGCAAGTTGCCATCTCCATACTTGCATCCTCAAGTAACGCCTTTTAAGACTAATATTAGAGCACTAGCATAATAATCCATATTGCCCAAGTATTACCTAACTTATGTAAACTTTTTCATGTTTTGTGATTTAATATGGTGCTTACCTATTTCTCGTATGAGAAGGGGAATTCAGTGATTCCAACATGTCCTCGATGCGTGTATGTGTCGCAGGGTCCAATATCTCTAACAAAATGACAAGAGTTATGGTACGGAAGCGTCTAGGTGCCAAATTTAATAACTCGTGATAAGGTTTTTCAAGTCTAATAAGGACTTTTTTTAATAATCAGTCATAAAATTCTAATTAGGACTATGTTACTCCTAACCAGGAGACATAATTAGAATTTTGTTACTACAAAATAGGAACTTTAGCTCTTATTAGGACAACGGCAATGTGTCTTAATAAACCAATTTGAACTTGAGGGGCAAATGAAATAAGTAGTTGAGAAATAAAATTAAAGACAATATAAAAATTAGGAACTAAGATTTTTTTATTTCTCCTATTAGGATTAAAAAAGGACCTTAATTATGAGTACCAATGTTTTGTTTTTGGTTGAAAAAAAATCTCAAAAGGAACGATCAAAAATACAAAATTGAACTGAACCTGTTCATAGTCGGTACTTAAAATTGCAAGTTGCCATCTCCATACTTGCATCCTCAAGTAACGCCTTTTAAGACTAATATTAGAGCACTAGCATAATAATCCATATTGCCCAAGTATTACCTAACTTATGTAAACTTTTTCATGTTTTGTGATTTAATATGGTGCTTACCTGTAGTATTTACTTTTTTAGAGTTGTACTAAATTTTAATGAATTTATGCCGTATTTGATTCCCCACATTTGGGGGTATATTTATTTTGTCTGTTGGGGTAGTCATGTTTAACTGTGCGAAAGCCAAAGCTTGACAAGGTAGTAGAACATGGCATAAATTTGTGGAAATGTTTGGACAGTGGCTATTAAACACCCCACATAAGAGACTTGGTTGTTTGTTTGATTGGGTTTTACGTTACACCGACACAGCATAGGTCATGGCGACCTTCCAGCTTTACTGGTGGAGGTCTTCCCATAGGTGCACTTCTGTGCATTATTTCAGGCACAAACGGGCATCTGCTTAGAACCACCGACGTTTCGTAAGCTAGCTGGATAGCTTCCTCACATGAAAGAATCCAAAGTCCTTGTAATATATCTTAACAATATAATTAATGAACTTAAAGTTGTTATTCTGCCAATAACAAGTCATCAGTAAACACTTTTTCTTCCAGGTTTGGTTTATTTCTTAACAATGTTATTCATATACAACAAATAATCATTTACCACAAATACAAATAATTCTATTATCTGTAAATCACATTGTTCTTTTAAAGTATTCTTACAAAATTTATATAAATGACATATAAAAATCATAAACGTATATGCATATTACGTTGAGTATTTTACAGGTTAAAGGACAAACTAACCTTTGAAGGAAAATATCTCTTATAACACGTTAATTAATTTGAGTTTAAATAAAAAATACATTTTGTAATTACAAAATAAATACTTTAATAATAAGGATATAAACGCAGAACGCAGAATATAATGGTATACGTCTTTACTTCATACCATTAAATAGCTAGTCTTTTCAATTATTTTTTATGCAAAGGTATATTTTTATGCAAAAGCATGTCTGACATATGGAAATAATGTAATGAATTAACATCGTTCATAGAACATAAATACCGGCAATATGTCACTTTTAAAATCTTATTACACAACGTAAATATTTCTGAAAAATTTGGTATTTACAAGGGTTCGTGATGATTCAATATTTTCATTTATTAACGCAGCGATTCAGAAATTTCTTCAGGTTCTAATAATCTAACATCTTTATGAATAATTGATGATCCAATATCACCATGAATTAATGGTCTAACAGCTTCAGGCATAGATGAACTTACAAATTAATGTATTAACAATCCAACATCTTGATGTATGTATTAATAATCCAACGTCTTCATATAATCTTTTCTATTATCCAACGTTTTATGTATGAATAATCCAACATCGTCGTGTATGAATAATCCAACATCGTCGTGTATGAATGATCCAACATCGTCGTGTATGTTTGATATTATGTATCCTTTCCTTCTTGTTTTGTATACATATTTGACACATCAGATGTCTTATAAAATCTCATAGTCTCCTCATACGAAGGCGGTGGTGGTTCACAAGCTACAGCTCCGGCATGCACCGGATCTGGAAAAGGAACATGCCCGACTAATATATTACCAGACTGAGCATAATCAGGGGGTGCACTCTCGTTTCGATGCGGAGCCGGTTGCATAGGAACACTTTGCCGATCGTCTCTGCATCCCAGAATGTTTAAAGCAAATGTTTCTGTTTGAATCAGTTGGCTTTCTTTTCTTTTTATTAGAAATGCAAAGAATATTAAAATGAAGGCAAAGGCAAATAGAATAAGACCTATGGTTGCACATATAACAGCATCTGCTCTATGGATGGTGACTGGTTTATAGTCTGTACTAGTATGTATTTCCTGAGCGGCGAATGTGACCAAGCGTTCATTCACTGTGCCATACACCATTGTTGGAACCCATAATAGAGAACCTGCAGAAAATGAAGAAAATCAACGATACTTTTTTTTACAAAAAAAAATATTCAAAACTGACCATTCTTCTGATGTTTATAATATATTTAAAACAAGGGTGACATTGTCACTTAAATTCGCCTGTCACTAAGAGATCTAAGTTTTACTTATACCTTTAACCTTAGAGACCTGGGTCATGCGCAGGCATTACGTCGCATGGCAGTGAACAAACCTATAAAGTAACATTCAAAATTAATCCCTGTATGTAAAAGATTTCTCGGGACAATATCTGGATATTTGATAATCTCTAGTGACCTTGACTTTGCAAATATTAACCTAAATTTCATGTGTCACAGCCGTTGTTAATATTGTTACCATTTGTATTACAATCCAATCAATAAATGATGACTAAATGGTCCCCATACACATTTTCATATTCTTATCTGAACTTTGACCTCTATGTGTGACCTTGACCTTGGCCGCAGGGACCTCAATTTTGCGTGCAACACCCTGCCTGACAATGTTAAAAAATTGTGCCATGTTATATTAAAATCCCCATATAAATGTATAAGTTTTGTAATAAAAGAATTACACCCAAAGATGAGCATAGAAAATCTTTAACACCAATGCCTTTTATCCAGAAATCAAGATTTTTTTATTTATTAAAAATACTGATGATGATAATGATGATGATGATGATGATGCTGCTGCTGATGATGATGATGATAATAATAATAACAACAACAAGAATTTGTAACAGAGTTACCAACGTCTCCCGCCTCGGGGAAGTTTTATATGAAGCATAAAATTGTGCCTATTTCAAAAGATTGAGGTATGGATCTCAGGACGTTCAGTCCAAAATTATGACCAATGCTAGATCTGCAAATGCAACAATAAATTTATAAAAGAAATAAAATGAAACACGGAATTTAAAAATCTTTCATGTTAAGCTTTTTAAAACTCTTTCATGTTAAGCTTTGACCTCTAAGTGTGACCTTGACCTTGGAGGTAGGGGTGCAGGTGTTGTGCATGACATATCTCTTATTATTGTAACTATTTGTGCCAAGTATTTTCAAAATCCTTGTACTATGAAGAAGTTATAGATCGGACACAAAATATACCCTATAACAGACTATGTTAATCTTTGACCTCTAAGTGTGACCTTGGAGGTAGGGACCCATGTTTTGCGCCTGACATATCATCTTATTATTGTGATTATTTGTGCAAAGTATTTTCAAAATCCCTTGATCTATGAAAAAGTTATGGACTGAACACAAAATATACCCTATAACAGACTATGTTAATCTTTGACCTCTTTGTGTGACCTTGACCTTGGAGGTAGGGACACATGTGCTACGCATGGCATATTATCTTATCATTGTGACTATTTGTGCCAAGTATTTTCAAAATCCCTTGATCTATGAAAGAGTTATGGACGGGACACAAAATATACCCTGTGACAGACTATGTTATTTTTTGACCTCCAAGTGTGACCTTGACGTTGGAGGTAGTTGACCGTTTGTTAAGCAAGACACATCGTCTTATTATTGTAAACAATTGTGGCAAGTATTTACAAAATCTCTTCACAGATAAGAAAGTTATGGACCGGACACGACATTACCCTCAAACTGACAATGTTGACCTTGAATGAGCAAGTGCGACCTTGACCCTGGAGGTTGGGGTCTGGTTGTTGCGCATGACACATCGTCTTATTATAACAAACTTGTGCCAAGTTATTTCAGACCGGACACGAAAGTGTGACGGACGGACGGGCGGACGGAGCCTATTTCTATATCCCCCTTTTTCTTCGAAAACGCGGAGGACAATAATTAGAATAATAAACCAATTAATAACGATTACAAACCTGAAAGTACAATTAAACCCATTTCTACGTAATGTCGAATGAAATGATTCTTCTGTGTCAGATATCCGGTGACGTCACTTTTATATCTCCTCTTATGATCCGATATAAAAAACACAGCCACAAATGTCACGCCCACTGCTATTGTTACTTCCATTTGAAATTCCTTTTGCCTAGAAAATGGAATTCCTAAAAGAAAAGAAAACGGAATTATATGAGAAAGTAATGATTTTATTTTGTAGATGTAGGTATTTTATGTAATGCTTGGTTTTTGTATGTTGAACAAACAATTTATCGTTTTTGTAAGTTAACGATGGGAATGTTTTCCTTTGGTTTTATCTACCACAGTGGTACATTGTAAATATTTCCAAAAGAAGGCCTGTCAATGAAAAACGAATTATCTATTCAAAGCAAAAGTATCTCTATCGAAACGGTTGAAAATATAACATTGTGAGCTGTCAGTATTTTTCACGCATAATTTCTTTTATATTTAATTTTGCATCTACAAGGTGGCATAAGTTTTTGTTATATGGGTCTCGCTAAAACGATTAGAACACACATTCTTACTTACTCTCATCTACCCATGAAAAGTTATATCCTGGTTCAAAGTAACTCTTTGTAGCATACGTGCCATTGATCATGTCTGGATATAAGTCAGTGTAACACGTGCCATCAATACACGTGCCAATATACCAAATAGCATAGCTCCTGTTAGCACAGTGCTCCGTAACAGCCAGAGTGTTTGTAGTGTTCCACCACGTGCCATTAAAATCATTTTCAACTTTGTCAGTAATAATATTATCACCAAGTCCATTGTAAGCATAATCTTCATTTAGAATATTGTAATAATCAGTTTTATTCACGGTGATGTTCCGGCCATCAATTTCAACGTGAACCCAACTTGGTATAATGCATAAAATTAGTTGGATCATTATTGATATACTCAGTATTATGATTGCTTGCGTCATCAAGCAGATTTTGAGCTTTTTCTTGGCACACATTTTAATATACTACCGCTCTGAAACCACTACAAATGAATTATAATTGTCACTTTTTAATTATACTTCCTTCTGAAAACACAAGAACCCATGGGTCGTTAAGTGAGGGCTGTTACTCAAACTGTCGGGTTCATTCGCAAAGTTCTCTGAAAAAGAAAATCTTTTATGACGTTTTTCTTTATTTATGTTTTACATATAACTGAAATTCGAATATCATTCGAAAATAATTTTCCAATCTTAACTAAACTGTATACCAAATTCAGGGAAAATTTCCGAATTTTTCTTGAATGAAAATCTGAATGTGGTCTGAACTGGTCGCATTGGGTATATTCACCGACAGGCTTAAGTTTGAGCTTTCATTCAGTGAACTTACTTTTCCTTACTTTAATCAAATTACACTTATTAATCAATTGTGACTTTTAGCACTTACAAAGGTTCAATATGAAGTTAATTATATCTATTGATACTTGACATGCATACCCTATACTTAATATCATTTATCATTTATAAGTATAATATACCAACTAGAGCTTCCGCTCGACTATTCTCAGTGCTTGACAGTAAGAAAAGGGGCATTACTTTGTAAAAAGGTAACTCAAGAGTTATGTGACCTGTGTCAATCGTGTTACACAGTAATCACGGACATAAAGTGTGTGGAGTTTCTACCAATTCCCTTCAGTAGTTCTGGGGATACTAGCCTGAGATTCAGGCGTTAATAGTTTTTGCTTATTTATAACATTTTTTTTCTTTATTCATAACATATGCGCTATTCCGTATTCGTTCGTCGTTTTGATAGTATCAAATGTCGATTTGCCAAACAGAAACATAAAAAATCGACAGACTGGAACCCAGGCTATGGAGATACCAACTTGCACTCAAAAACTTAACGACACCGGCACTACACCTTTTCTTTCTCCGAATAGTCGAGCTAAAAATGAAGATATTTGTGCGGTACCATGTGCAACTCGTTCGGAAAGGTTTTGTCTATTCGCAATGTTCGAATAAAAGTTGTTTCTGAACGTATATACAAATAGTGAAATAATCGAATCGCAGACACTTTATATTGTGTAATACTTAGTATATCAAAATAAAAAATCGCAGCCAAAGAAAAAGAAGGGAAAAAAAGAACGCATTTTTTCGACATACGTCTAGTATACTATATATACTGTCAAGCATATACCTGTTGAAACAAACACTGCTGCGTATTATGTTCATATGTAATACCTTTTCACCATCATAAATATTTCTAGACATCTAGGTGTTCTGATATAAGAAACATGCCAAATCAAATAACACCCCCTAACAAAAACAAAAATAGAAGTGAATAATAAAAAACGGAAAAAGCTAAAATAAAACTGGAATCTCATTTTTTTTTAAATTGTGTATTTTTGTACATGTTTTAAGAACTAGAATATTCAATTGTCACCAATTATTTATTGATAATTCAGTTGTCGAGGGGTAAAATCTCAAAGGCATTGAATTTACATGTCCTTCGTGTGCCTTTATGATGTAGTTTCATCGCCAGTAAATGAGATGTTGAATAATTGAATAATATTACGAGTATGTAATGAGATCAAGAGGAAATTCCAGGTGTTTTTACTCATATTACCGCTCGTGTCTGATGAAATGCTCGGAGAAATATACCTGTGCTTTTCTGAGTCCGCGATACAAAGAAACCAGAAATCCCCAGATTCTTGTTTTAATATCCAAACAACACCCAGACATGTATAGTTTGTGCTGTTCATTACATGCACCATGTTTTAGCAAGATATTCATTCAATGGCGCGGTCATTGATGAAAACAATCAACAACTTTGTACTGTAAAAATCAATACATTTCTTTTCATATTGAATTGTGTACTCATTAATTGAAAAGCAGAATGAAGTGTTAAATCAATAAAAAATAAAAATAGCTTACCTTGTTTATCTCTGTTGATTAATATAGAAAGAAATTCTGTTTTTGCAAGTAAATATTCCGAGTATGTTTTACACAGAATCAGATTCGCGCTGTGTAAATCAATACCTATATGCTTCTGGGAAACAGTACCACTTCTGTAAATAAGTTATGTACGGAATGCCGTTAGGGCCATTGCCTATGAATGTGTTGATCTGAAACGCGATAGTCGATAGTACGATGATGAAAACGCGAAATCACGAAACTACGATGGTGAAAATGCGAAAGCACGATGATGAAAACGCGAAAGTACGATGATGAAATCGCGACAGTACGATACTACGATGATGAAAGCGCGATAAACTATCGTGTTTTCACCATCGTACTGTCGCGTTTTCACCATCGTAGTTTCGTGATTTCGCGTTTTCATCATCGTACTGTCGTGTTTTCATCATCGTACTATCGCGTTTTCACCATCGTACTATCGCGTTTTCACCATCGTACTATCGCGTTTTCATCATCGTACTGTCGTGTTTTCATCATCGTACTGTCGTGTTTTCATCATCGTACTATCGCGTTTTCACCATCGTACTGTCGTGATTTCATCATCGTACTTTCGCGTTTTCATCATCGTACTATCGCGTTTTCATCATCGTAGTTTCGTGATTTCGTGTTTTCACCATCGTACTATCGACTTTCGCGTTTCAGATTAACATATTCATAGGCGATGGCCCTTACGGCATTCCGGAATGCCGTTAGGGCCATCGCCTATAAATGGTTTGATCTGAAACGCGATACTCGACAGTACGATAATGAAAACGCGAAATCACGAAACTACGATGGTGAAAACGCGACAGTACGATGGTGAAAACACGATAGTTTATCGCGCTTTCATCATCGTAGTATCGTACTGTCGCGATTTCATCATCGTACTATCGCGTTTTCATCATCGTGCTTTCGCGTTTTCACCATCGTAGTTTCGTGATTTCGCGTTTTCACCATCGTACTATCGACTATCGCGTTTTAGATCAACACATTCATAGGCGATGGCCCTAACGGCATTCCGTAGTTATGCCAGAGTGAAACTGCAATCGATATATATTCTATCAAAGGGAAACAAATCTTACATATATATTAAAATTGATGTTAGTTGTCTCCCTTTGCATCCTTAGCGCTGCATTGATGCATTTTTATAAAAGATGTTGTTAAATGTTTGTCGTAAAACTGCAGTTAAATTTTTGTTTATTTTATCATCTCATTTTTCATGTGTATGTTGTGAAAAATTCGTAATATTTGCAATTTATCAAAATAAATCTTTTCAAATTGAAATAAAACATTTTGTTATAAAAAATGTTACAGCAAAGTCATTCTCAAATAGACATTTACCAGTGTTAACGATCCTGTATATGCCATGTGATCATTTCTGAGTACACATGTAGTTAGGTAATACCAGAACGATTCTTTGAATTGTTAAAACATTTGAAAAAGCTGCAATAATTATTTTTGAATTTTGTAAAAAGAATACTTCTAAAATACTTGAATAAAACGAAATATGATTGTAAGTTTCCTTTTTATTAAATAGCGCATGCATGAAGACAGTGTTAAACGGTTAAAAGCCTAGTACTTAATGTATTGTTTATTAAGTTTTTAAAAAAATGGTTAATGAGTTGGGAACTATTACCCAACGTTACTTTACTTACCCTGCTATTTAGTTCCTATGTACATGCAGCAATTTTTATTATCCACGGAATGAATCTTCTCAATATATCATATGTTTAATAAGAAATAGATCATTCAACTACGCTGCGTATACTATTCCATTGAATTTAATACAAATTATTGTAATTCTTAATTGATTATTACTTGATACACGCACTTTTGTATGGTGGCTGATTTGTGCCATTCGTGTTTTCGCCCCGCGACCCCGCAAAGCGAAAAGTTAAAATGGCGGGGGCGCGGGGCGAAAACACGCTAAGGGGGCAGGGGACATATCCAAATGATGGCCCCGGTCAAATTTTTTAATAACTCAGACATGGTATTTTGAAGGTACTTGAAAATTCTGATATTTCTGTCATTGTAATTCTTTCTTGTTTATGTGTAGAAAATTAGAAGTATTTTACCTGAAACTTAGCATTTTGGTAGCTATGTATGTATTTGTGACTCTCCGAATGGAGGTGAAGAAGCTAAAAATCAAGCTTTGACATTTGGCGCCAAACAAGAAAAAAATTTCGGATAAATTTTGTGAAAATCTAAACGTATGACAGACATTTTATTGGTCATTTTTTAAAATACCATTGCTTGCACTGTGTGTTAGTGATATTTTTTTAAAGGAATTCGGCGGATTCTGGAGTATGCTGCACCTTCATGAAGATTGCCCATATTGGTATATTTTAGGTGTGATTTTGGCTGGGTGGGGGTAAATATAATTTGCTGTCAGTCATTTTTTAAGAAACAATGCATGCAAACTATCATTTTCTTCAATGTATGTCATATATCATTGAATAATGCTGTGCAACTGGTTATCTGCCTGTGAAACAGATTTTGAAATATTTGGAATTGTGTTTCTGGCCACACTGAAATACAAAATTGTTCATTTTTAGGTCCCCTGCCCCCTAATTAGCGAGGGTGCGGGGCGAAGTTTAAGCCCCCGCCATTTTACTTGTTAATTTACGACTTTATCGCTTGGCGGGGTCGCGGGGCAAAAACACGAATGGCAAAAATCAGCCACCATACTTTTGTCTAATGCACGTTTTTTTTTTCTGAGCGCTTAGCAGTTTTGGTAAACTTGACCGTTTTATATAGAGGATATTTGTTTGTTTTGCATGTAAGATTGAAATATAATTTCACTGAGTGAACACCAGATGCAATATTTTCACGAGTGGCGTAGCCACGAGTGAAAATATAATAGCTGGTGTTCACGAATGAAATATTTTTCAATCTTATATGTAAAACAAATAAATTTTCTTTTTATTTCATGCTTTTTAGGTGATTTTAAGTATTTTTTTACTGGTTTAGCCGCGTAACGTCACGCATTCTCCTTTGTGACGTCATCACATCATGACGTCACATAATCAATTTTGAAATATAGGTCTGTTAAATTTCTTTAATTTTGTTACGTTTTGATGATGTATGATACGGAATGCCATTAGGGCCATTGCCTATGAATGTGTTGATCTGAAACGCGATAGTCGATAGTACGATGGTGAAAACGCGAAATCACGAAACTACGATGGTGAAAACGCGAAAGTACGATGATGAAAACGCGACAGTACGATACTACGATGATGAAAACGCGATAAACTATCGTGTTTTCACCATCGTACTGTCGCGTTTTCACCATCGTAGTTTTTCGTGATTTCGCGTTTTCATCATCGTACTGTCGTGTTTTCATCATCGTACTATCGCGTTTTCACCATCGTACTATCGCGTTTTCATCATCGTACTGTCGTGTTTTCATCATCGTACTATCGCGTTTTTCACCATCGTACTGTCGTGTTTTCATCATCGTACTATCGCGTTTTCATCATCGTACTATCGCGTTTTCATCATCGTACTATCGTGTTTTCACCATCGTAGTTTCGTGATTTTCGTGCTTCACATCGTACTATCGACTATCGCGTTTCAGATTAACACATTCATAGGCGATGGCCCTAACGGCATTCCGGAATGCCGTTAGGGCCATCGCCTATCAATGGTTTGATCTGAAACGCGATACTCGACAGTACGATGATGAAAACGCGAAATCACGAAACTACGATGATGCAAAACGATGATGGGGAAAAAACGCGACAGTACGATGGTGAGAAAACACGATAGTTTTTTATCGCGTTTTCATCATCGTAGTATCGTACTGTCGCGTTTTCATCATCGTACTATCGCGTTTTCATCATCGTACTTTCGCGTTTTCACCATCGTAGTTTCGTGATTTCGCGTTTTCACCATCGTACTATCGACTATCGCGTTTCAGATCAACACATTCATAGGCGATGGCCCTAACGGCATTCCGTAGTATGATGACATCGACTTTCTTTTCCTAAAGAAGCAAAATTTACGCACGACGGCATTAATTTCTGCCTGTTATTCCATTTAGTTATGATTTTCTTTTCATCCGCATTCAGATATAGTCCGGCTACAGTGAAAATTATATTTTATAAATTTCACTAGTGGTTTATCAGAATATAATCATCTGATATATTACAATAAAACACTGGAAAGCATGAAATAAAAGATTCTATTTACAGATATTGCACGAAATTCACGGGTAGCTTGTAAATTATATATTATCTCATATATAACGATTATCTCGTGTTGTTATATGTAATTTGATTTTAAAAATGTCAAATTTTCCATCAGAATTAAAATTGATACACCGGAGTATTTAATTCGATTATTTGTCTTGTCTTCTTATAGAGTTTATGTAAATTCAACATTCCAATTTTTACGACATGAACGATATTAGTAATTATTTAAAAGAATACTATTTACAAATTTTTCATGTTCTTGGTAAAAAAAAGAAGAAAACCTGACTTTCCATTGTTCCATAAATTTTTGTTTAATTTTCTCATCAATCGGGATTATTCGGACTTTGTTGTGCTATTAAATCAATAAAATTAGTTTCGATTTCAAATAGAAAATGAGGCATCCCATTTGAATACACCATCTGATATCTTCTCATATTAATTTACAGTTACAACTAAAAGGTTTCACGTGATCAGTTGAAACTGAACTTAACTATATGCCCGATAGGAAAAATAAATAGCAAGAAAAGTGCGTGCTGAATATAAACGCGTAAATATGGTGGCTGATTTGTGCCATTCGTGTTTTCGCCCCGCGACTCCGCCAAGCGAAAAGTCGAAAATTAACATGTTAAAATAGCGGGGGCGCGGAGTGAAAACACGGTAATTAGCGAGGGCGAGGTTTAATAAATAAAACTTTTTTTTATTTATCTAACTTCGCCCCGCGCCCCCGCTAACTATCGTTTTCGTTCCGCGACCCCCCGTTTTATTTCTTAAATCTCGCTCCGCGCTCCCGCAGGGCGAAGTTTTATTTATTTAACTTCGCCCCGCGCCCTCGCTAATAAGCGTGTTTACGCTTCGCGCCCCCGCCATTTTAAATTGTTAATTTTCGACTTTTCACTTGGCGGGGTCGCGGGGCGAAAA